CTCGATTTTAATCTCATTTTGCTTCCTGTAACTCAAAAGTTGCCACCTTATTGCATGAAACTCAATTTGCTTCACTTTGCCCCTTGAAACTCGATTTTGATCCCAATCCCCCCCCCACCCCCCCCCAACAACAAACTTGAAAGTCAACTTTATAAAACTCAAAATTCACTTCACATTGTCTTAGATCTATTAGTTTCTTATGTGGGTTTGATTTGGGTGAGCAGGGCTAATTTATTATTATTTTTTTCATCTCTTCAATTTCTTTTAAACTTAATATTCTCTAAATGTTGAATGTTGACGCCTGCTAGAGATTTATAATCAAATTCATTGCACATGTTGCATAGTCTTATTAGGTGTTGGGTCTCATATATGTTTTAAGAGGAGATCTATAAGTTTCAAGGAGAAGAGAGAGTCCATGACACGCCCCGATCCCAATATCTCCAAATAACAAGATAGGCACGTGCTAGCCGACACCCGAGGGTGACGAAGCCATTTTAACATGCATGCAACAAAATATGTAAATATAATGAAATACGCAAATGCGGAAACGTGTTCAGAGCATACAACTAATCAAGAATAATGTGAAAGGATTATTATAAAAAGGCACAAACAAAGGAATGAGTCTTACCCTGAGAAGACTCGAAGATCCCTACATAGAAATGCCCTGATGTTGGGATCGTGTGCCTCAAATCTAGATCCTTAAGGGGCGTAAAACCAAAAAAGTGAGTGGACCAAGGTTTATAATAATAGTACTAATAATAAGGAAATCATTTTCTTTATGAACATACTAACCCCCTATTTTAAAAACACATATAATACTACATAATAGGTTTTTTGAAAACTCTAGCATGTCATGAAAAATGTTTGTAAAACATGTATGTGTAAAACAATGCTCGATAATGGTGTTATTGCCGCTTGAAGGCAAATTCATAAATCTTATCAATGCTATACCCATTAGAGGTATCATAGTGGCCTGAAGGCATAACCACCACCAAAGGTGAAGATGTACGACACTAGGTTACGCCAGTGAAGAAATCATGGTCCATCACCTGAAGGTGAAGCTGTACAACTCCAGGTTACACCAGAGAATATACATATAATATATATATATATATATGTATATGCAATGGGTTCATCACCCAAAGGTGAAGCTGTACGACTCCGGGTTATGCCAGAGAAGAGATATATATATATATATATAATATATGTATATGCAGTGGGTCCATCACTCGAAGGTGAAGCTGTACAACTCTGGGTTATGCCATAAAAGAAACAGAGGGTCCATCACCTGAAGGTGAAGTTGTACGAATTTGGCTTACACTAGAGAATAAACATATACATATATCACACACTGACACTAGCCATGGCTGTGTCCTATGTCCATAGACGTCTACATACTTGTGTTGTGTGAATGTGTTGTATGATAACCCACTAAATAAGCACCGAAAACATAACTCAAAATCAAATATTTGTAACGACCCATCCCTAATATTTTGGGTTTTTATAATTTTTATAGTGTGATATTACGAAAATGTCCTTCGAGGAAAAAAAGTTGACTTTTGTGGACCACTTTGTCGTGTCACATAAGGTCAATTCTTTTAGCGTATTCTTGTAGTACTCATTGCTATAAACGCAGGGTGCAAGCGAAATTGAATTTGGAGCTAAATCGAAGATTTTACGGGACTTGAAATGATAAAGGTATTTTGGTAATTTTACAATTAGAGATATTTCTCCATCATGGACCATTAGGGTGGTGACATGTGGCACCGGTGACTCCACCAGAGGTACTGTGCTCCGCGGTGGACGTCGGCGAAGCACAGTACCCCAAGCGAAGGCCCGTGTGCTCCACGCGTCGGCCATGACACGCACCCACACGCTGGCCTAAAAAGCTGGGTTTGGGTCTGAGTCGGATTTGCTGGGTTTGGCCATTTTCTAGGTTAGGCCTGGGTTAAGGTTATTGGTTTATGGATTTGGGCCTGGTTTACATGGCCTAAAGATTTGAGCCGGTTTTGGGTTACAGGTCGGGTCGACCCGATTAGGTTCATGGGTTGCCAGACCCAACGAAGAAGAACATCGGTTTCTAGGGGTTTTGGCCAGAAAACTTCCCCGGCTCCATTTTGGGGTCAAAACTTAACCAAAATTGATGATTCAAAAGCCATATTGAAGCTGGAAACATGGAGAACAAGTCTATACCAAAGCAGGGCCAAGTTATCATCGGCGTTGGCCGAAAAATGGCTCACAAGCCTCTAGGTTTCTCGTCGAAAACTAGAAAACAATTCCCCGAGGCATTTCTGTATCAAAAAGAGAAAGGATCAAAGGTATCCTGAGTCTTACCTACGTCGAAGTTGTCGAGAACCTCTACTATTTTTGGATAGTGATCACAAACCTGAGAGAGAAAGAAATAGGGAGAGAAGATGGTGGTGATCTAGAGGGTTCAGGTGGTCTGAGGGCTCACCAAAGAGGCGAGGGGGTGGGTGGTGGTGTGCTCGGAGGGAGGGAGAAAATGGTGAGGGGGAAAGTTTCCCAGGGAAAGAATAGAAAGAAGAGAGGGAAAAAGAGAGAGATGGAGAGTTCTAGAAAGAGACAGAGAGATCACGAGAAGGAAAAAAATCGCCACATGTCACCACCCTAATGGTCCATGGTGGAGAAATATCTCCAATTGTAAATTTACCAAAATACCCTTATCGTCCTGAATCCCTTAAAATCTTCGTTTTAGCTCCAAATTCGATTCCACTTGCGCCCACGCGTTTGTATCGACAAGTCGAACAAGGATACGCCAAGGAAATGGATCTTACATGACACGACAAGACGGTCAACGTTTTTCCTCGAACGGCATTTTCGTAAATTCGCTTTTTAAAATTATAAAAATCATAATATTTGGGGATGGGTCGTTACAGTACACAAGTTAAAGTGGAACAAATTTTGAGTTTTAGGGAGTAAAGTAGTGACTTTTAAGTTACAAGGTAAAGTGAGATTAAAGTAGAGTTATAAAGGGTATAACTAAAAATAAAGATACAAAATAGATAAGAAGTCGTTCATATTACCACAAAAACAAAAAATTTGAAATATTTTATGTAAACCATTACGATTTCATACTCTTTTATTATTTGTTTTGCATTCCTTCAATTTTGTATTTCCAGAAATGTTAAGCAGACTCTCAAAAGTAAGATTCTCTATGAACAAACTGTCATCTTATGTTTTTGGCCCAACATTTTAATAATATTAGCACGGAAATTAACGTTAAAATGTATGCTAATAAAGAGTCTAAGAGAGTCTCTTAGCATTAGTCTTATATTTGATTTAAAGTTCAGAACATTTCTATATGCTTATGTTACCCCCAGAAATATTGGATCCTGGGTTATCATAAATACGGTAATTATAATGCACATAATTTGAAATGATTGGGTGAAAACTCAAGACTGCCAGCAAGGTTCTGTACCCGGAATCATATCCATCTGCGGATTCTGCACAGTTGCCAAATGAGAAAACAACAATAGATCTAGTAAAAAGACATTTCAACACACAGTGGTGAAATTGAGAAAAAGGAGTGCTTGGGTGTGGCATAGTTTTGTTGGTTCCTCCATTGCATTTAAATTTAATTCCACTCACAAAAAGAGAATAAGTTTAGGCAATCGAAGAGCTATTAATAATTGCTAATTACCATGTTAATCACAAGCTTTTATTCTCATTTTGTAGTTGTACAAACTACATAGAGACTGTTGAGAAAACCCAAGAGAGTTTTAACGAAAAATTCATGGTATTATTTACTGTAACGAAAAACCATATTTTTACACTAAAAAGTCAATCCTGGTACTATTCACTTTACCATTTATTTTGCCTTTATCATTAAAACTCAAAATTTTCAAGCCTATTTCATTAGTTTTCATTTTTATTTATATGCTAATCCGGATTGCTGAGTTCATGTGTGCGGATGCTCGTATAGATCTGTAAATTTAATCGTGTGAGACCAATGACCAAGTATGAGGAGACCCACTCCGTTGTTAGGATTGTCAGACGACTAATGTGTCCAGATGAACGTAAGAATTCCTCTCACAAAACAAATTCAAAACGTCAAGTCAAAGTCAATCATGCGCGTGTAGACCGATATTATTATTTGACACAACATAATCAATTATATCATGTGTAAAATTGTTCTCACAATAATACATGTCGTCAATAATAATCTACACACATCATGCATAGGAACGTTCCATATGCATCAACGGCCAAAATTAATCCCTTGTCGCCCTTCTAACTATAAAATGTCAAATTTACCAAAAAAAAAAAAAAAACCAAAAAATGTCAAAAGCCAAACCCAAGATGGCTGCCTCTGTTATGGGGATCGTAGAATAGTCCGTACGACTTTCGGCAGAAAGTCAATCTGTATTGGATGAAGCCGGATGGGTCATAAGCTTTATTAATGTAGTCCCATTCAAAGATTAGCACGAACCTGTCTAATTAAAGGTGTGCTTTTACATTGCATCTTTGGACTTCCCATCGCTCTTAATCTTTAATCTTTAATTAATTTAATCACTTTTCAAGACATTTAGTACTAAAGTCTAGTGGTATTCCTTCTCACATATAAATGAAAGATGTTAGCTTCGATTGTCGCCAAAGACGAATTTGAACCATATTATTACTAGCTTATTGTGAGACTAAACCCGCCACCTCCTTCCAATATCGTTTGTTCAAAAAAAAATTTTATCACTTTCCAAATAATCTCTTTTTTTTTTTTTTTTTTTTTTTATTCTAAATTACGCAACTGTGGCTGCTGGGAAGCATACGTCAACAACAACAAAAATGGCCTAATCACATTTCTCACTTCATAATCACTGATTTACACATTGTCTCGACAGCCGATGGCTCGGCGAACACCGGTCGTGATGCGAAAAAAATTGATTCGGTTCGTTTTCTTATAAAATGTTGCTGTCACTTTGCTGAATTTTGCCAAAGGTCGTCTGAACAATTTGATATAAATGAAATGCTGAAAACGAACGACAGAGGAAAGAATATTAAATTTATTTATACAAATTCATCTAATATTATGTTATGGGCACATACGGGACTTGCGTCACTCAAAGCAGCCCATACACAGACCACTACTGCACTGAAACTCATCGCCATCACAAAACCGAAAAGGACATCCGCTTACTTGAATTATTTTGGCCCCAGTCGTGCAAACTTTTGCCCTTTTCATTGGCGAATGCAGCTCCGACCCTTGTTTTTGTTTCCATGTCGCTCGTACGCTGCAAATTGCAACTTTTATGTCAAGGACCTCCACAGAAAGTAGACTTGGCTGATTCATAGAGCAGAGGGAGTCTCTCGTACTGCGATTGATTGCACAAGCAACCATCGCTTCAGCACACTTTGGCCTGAACCGGCTTTGGAATCATTTCTGCTATCGGTCAGTGGACAAAGCGGATATATAATCCGTAATAACTTATCTTGTGCTTGCCCTTCGTCTTTGCTTGTGTAAATAGTGAATCAACGGTGTTGGTCGTCTCATTAAATTAAAACTGTAGAGTCGACCTAGATAAACATCTTGCACCGTCGATGTAAAGCCGCAAGCAATGGCTTCTTGCTGAGCTATTACAGATGATCCTGATCATAACCAAGTCTTATGCCAGCAACATTCACTAGCCAGAGCAGTCCATCAAATGGCGAAGAGTGGTGAAGAAGGTTTCACCAAGGAATACAATTTTCTCAAAGATCTTGAGCTTTCAAATTCTTCACTTAGATGGCTGAAAAGGGATGGTCATAACTCCATCTAACCGAAGAGCCCTATGAAACCCTCTCGGCTGCTCTAGCAAGCCTTTCTTCTTCATTACGTTGCAAAAGCTCCTCATAAACTTTTGTAGAGCTATCGGTGAACCTTTCCATGGCCTCAAAAATGCGTTGCAGACAACCCTGTAAAGTACTATTTCTAGTGTCACTCTGATATACAATCTGCCCAGCAACCGAGAGTCCGTCACCATCCCCTGATGCTAGCACAATTTTCTTGTCTAATGCCTGAATTTCTTTCTGTATTTTTTGGTCCTTTCTATCCAATTTCTTAACTTGTTTCTCTTGATCCTTGTTTGCCACCATCCTCTGGCGCATTTCAATCTTATCTTGTTCCCAAATCTGAAGCACACTTGTGGTGAAAATACGCATCGACTCAACCACCTCTCTTTCAGATATATTTTCCAAAGCCTGTGACCACTGGTTACATATTACAAAAATTGGGGGTGCACCTATTCTACCGGGTGAAAAGGGAACTATTCCATCTGGTGTTTCTTCCGGTTCATACAGAAGACATTTTAAAAGCCACTTGTTCAAAGCTCGCACATATCCCTTCTGCGCACTAATCCAAGTAGAGAATCTGAAAGTCCAGTTAATAAGCTGATGTTCAAGCTGCAATGTGGCATCAAGATGACCATCAGTAAGCTTTTTTCCAGATCCAATAGGACCTAAACCTCTGGCTTCTCTAACTGCTAGGCACTGGCTACTATGACATTCGAGCATACATTTCCACATCCTGGTTAACCTGAAGTGTAAGAAAATAAAAGAATTAGGCATGTGACATGAATATTGCATTCACAAAGTATATAATTTCCCACAAACCAATCTTTGTGTAAATAAAATCATACAGTTACACACGTGAGTGGAAACAACCACCAGTATGATTGTCAAAGTCATAGATACAAACACGATTGCAAATCAACACGCATAAGCCTATCCACTATCACCATCACCTGGCCAATCTTTCGTATTGCCAAAATGAGATTCATTGATTACTAGAGGCACCTAAATTCTTATTACCACCCTTATATTATAGGTAGGTGTTGTTCAAGACACCTGGATATTACGAAAAAGCTTCCAGTATGAGACTTCAGGACCCTATTTCATATTTTCGGTCACAAGAGTTTTTGGAAGCCATTCATGTGGTTCTCAATGCGGATAAAACCATCAAATTACAAATCATAAAGAAACTTTGATCAAGATTTTCTCCCCTTCTAATTTTTAGCTTTTCAGTAACACCTTCCAATTTTTGCCTTGCGTCTTTTTTTATCTTAATTACTTATATTCTCTAACCAAGCCTAATTCCCATTAATTTCATTCTTCGTCTTGAAGAACTCTTAGCACGAAAAATAAAATAAGAGTACCAATGGACCTACCAACTCCTTTAAGCTTAATTTTTGGAACATTGGGAATAGGTTGAACCCATGATCTACTACAGTTCTAACCCTTTTCCCCACCCCCTCACCACTTGTGCTAAATGGAGCTAATTATTCAATCAATAAATTAATTTTTCAAATATCAAGGACTAGCAATTGAAGGTCCAGGAAATATATTGAGATATAACCTTACCTATAACATCATCACACGGGTAAGATTGACTACGACTTGTCAATTTTGAAAATTTTAATCAAGAGTTATAACTAAGCTTAGTCCAAGATACGTGGTCAATGAGGTGACGACAAATAATCATACGAACAAAAAAAAGTATCCATAAATGCCACAGAAATTGGAAGATGGACATACCCCTGAATTAATTCGTTCAGTTGTGGCCATAATTCTTCATCCCTGATCTTACTTATAGTCACAGATATCTTGTCTACCACTTGAATTGCAATTTTAATTTTTGTGGACAGACTCCTTATTAAAGTTCGAGTTTTATCAACTTTATGAGCTTCTGCGCCCCTTTCATCTAAATGCTTTAGCTTACTGACCTTCCTGTCATGGATCACCCGCATCTTTTCCTCGGCCTGAAAAATTATAAGAAAACTTGTCTGTAGGGTCACAACTGACAAAGACAAAATTAGAGAGGGCAGAAATATGAATACACCTGGTGGTGAATAATAATGTATGATGGTGAGAACACCAAAATATCAATTAAAGAGGCCCTTGAGCCCTTCAGAGGGCAAATATGCGCTGGTCGGACCTAAAAGAAATACATTCCTTGTATAGAGATGTATCAATAAAGACACTTTATATTTGAAATTCACATTTAAGCAAACAAAAGACGAGACTTTATTATGAATAAGAAAAATAAAAGAAATTCTAATTCGACACTACTTTGGAACAACAAAGGATCATGAACCATGTGTCTGGCGAAGCATAATTAGAAAAGTATGAATTGTTCAAAGAAACCCAGATGGCTCAGACTCATAAAGGTCAAAGATATAAAGATGACCATGTAAACATTTAACCGGTAACGGGAACGGAGGAAACATACCTTTACTTCATTGTAGAGTTTCTTCTCCCAAAGATATAGCTTGTGTAAGGTGGAAGAGAGATTTTTGGACCTCAACATCAATTCTTCATCGAACCCCAATTGAGCAGGAGCAGCCACTTGAGCAGAGGTCGATGGCTCGGCACTAGTAGAAGGTTGCGAAGAAACTGATCACAAACACAACACAAAAGTCAAATCTCTGCTTAATAGAGTTCAAATTCAACAAAAATTAAACATAAAAACCCAGATCTGTAAACTTTCCACTTGAGGAAACTAACTACTACACATCAAACGCATAAAAGTTAAAACTTCCCAGGTAGATCAAAATTCAAGCAAGCAAATTTTTAGTAATCAATCTCTTAAAAAGGTGTATAATCCCATACCCACCATGTTTTTCACCATGGGGAAGCTTTCCCACCTCGAGCATCTTGGAAATTTCTTTCCCCGACTCCGAAGCTCTCTGAAACTGAATCTCAATCTCTCGAGCAACTTCGAAAGCATCTCGAGACCCCGGTCGAGCTTTAGCTGCAGCTCCGCCATTGCCACGGTCCTCGCGCGTCTCCTCCTCATCCACAATCTTCTTCTCCATCACATGGACTTCATACTCCACCCCACCACCATCAGTCTCAACGCTCGGCCGAGCTTGATAAACCGAGGAGGGCTGCGTTTCAGCTGCCTCATCGTCCACAACAGCCTTAGAATGCTTCCCGCCATCCACCACATGCTTGTGGTCCCTCTGCACCTCCTTCACCACCTCCGGCTGGTACTCCACGTCTTCCAATTCGGGAATTCCCTCTTCGTCTCTCACCTCCTTCAAGTCCCGACTCGGAGTGTAGGCAGAGTACTTTTCCTGAACATCGAATAGGTTTAAAAAATCCCAAGCTGAAGCTCTTGGCGGCGAAGGCGGCGGAGGAGGTGGCTTAGACGAGGTCGAAGCCGAAGCCTGTGGCGACGGTGCTCCATATCGGACCGGCGGAGAAGAATTACCGTAATTGTTATACCCACTACTCCCTCCGCCGTAATTATACGCACCACCGTAATTGTTAAACCCACCGCCGTAATCGGCATAAGGATTAGAGACAGCGTCTGGATAACTATTTGAATTTTGATATCCATAATACGAATTCGAAGAAGAAGATTCCCCCAATTGAAACACGTTTTCGGGGCTCACGGGTTTCTGCCGATGCACCACAGATGGCGTCGCTTTGTTCTTCATGTAATTCATGCGCATAAACCCATCTGGGTACGAATTGAAACCCTCCTGCCCGCCGTCCTCCATGTAATCAATATGACCGCCGTAGTGAGTATCGTGCAGTGGCGACGAGTGGCCGGAGAGGTGGAGCGAGCCGGAATCGTCGTCGGAAGAGTGAAAGTGGAGATGGGACCCGGAATTTGAATTTGAGTGAGAGTGGCGCGGCGGCGAGGATTTGGTCTCGCCTTTTCTGGCCGGCGGGAGGTTGAGGTGGGGTGAGGACGGCGACCCGGATGAATTGCCCACCTCCTGCTCGATAAATTGATGCAGAGAACGGCCGATTTCTCTGAGGGAGCTAATATAAGCGATGTGGGCCTCGGCGAGGGCGTAGCGCTGGTGAATCGCCTCGTCGAGGAAGCCGCAGCGCTCCCGGCATAAGGCAACGGCCGGAAGTTCGTCGGGCTTGGAGCTCGTGCAACCCATCAAGCGGGAAGAGAAGGCAACTTTATCAGTCTACGGTGAAAAATAGATAGTGGGTTAAGGCGAGATCAGCTGAAACATGGCGGGCGGATTGGGATTAGGATTCTGGTAGCTGTTGGGTGTTACTGTCTGTTTGTTTCTCGGGAAAATTTCGAACTTAGGGTTTGTGGGGAGGAAGATAAAAGAAAAGTAAACGGGAACGAAGGACAAAGGAGAGGAAGGAGAAGGGAATCTTTGCCAGCGCGGAGTTTGTCGTTGGCTTGCAGCAGAGAGAGACAGAAAGCAGAGAAAAGAGAGAGGAGAGTGCACAGTGTGTTTGTGTTTATGTGAGAGAGAGTGAGGAGTGAGAGAGAGAGAGAGAGAGAGAGAGAATGTATTGTATTGCTAGAGAAGAGAGAGGAGAGTGCACAGTGTGTTTGTGTTTATGTGAGAGAGAGTGAGGAGAGAGAGAGAGAGAGAGAGAGAGAGAGAGAGAATGTATTGTATTGCTGGCATTGTGCGTGAAATACCTTTTAACAAAACTTTCCGTTGAGAAGACCAAATTAATTCTATTCAAAAAATAATTAAAATAAAACACCTTTTTTTTAACAAATATAAAACACCTAATGCTAAATTAATTTCGTTAAAAAATTATTAAAATAAAAGTTATAGACAAAATAGTATATTAAATACAAAATAATTGTAAATTATTTTTTTAAAACCTCAAAAGCAAGAAATCATATCAGTTGTCCATTTTTTTTCAAATTAAATAAATTTTTAGTGATAACTTAATTATTTAAAGATCATCACCAAAAATGAAACACTGTAGTGACTCTTTTATATTTATTTTTACATTATATATTTCAGATTTTTAATAAGTGCATGCACAATTAATGGCTAATATTTCAAATTTTTATTGGGTGTACTTTTTAGGGCTATATCTTTTTATTTTAAACATATTTTAAGTTTGGGTAACAACCAGATCAGCGGGGAGATTTTTGAGAAATTGAGATGGTTTATGGTTAGAGACGCACATAATTGGAAATTCAAATTATAAAATTTCTGTTTTGAAATTTGACCAAGAAAAAATAAATTATTTGAATTATTTGGGTTTAGGAAAGGTCTTAAAAATAGGACAAAACGAGATTGGGTTTTGCTTTGACGGAAGGTTTGACGCTTGTAGCCGCCCACCATATTTTCTCGTGGCTTCCATTCCGGAAGTACCCTTGTAATTTTCCTGGGGATTTTCTAGGTGGTTTGAGTTTTACCTTTCTTTTCAATTTAGGTAATGATGATGAAGGTTTTCACTTTTCACTGTGGACTAATTTGTGTTTGTTTTTACGGTAGTAGACAATGTTAGGGAAATTTTATGAAAACACTTTGGATTTTTTGTCATCTCATAATTTAACGTCAATTATTGCGTAAATATTATATAATATTGTACAAAACACATGAGGTGGCAAAAAATTCATGAAGAGCCTCGCTTTTGAAAGAGCCTCTTTAGAATTTCTTCGACGTTATTGGTGCCTGTGGGATTAATGATTAATTAAGAGGACAATTATTATCATAATATTAATGGTTTTATTTTAACATAGTTTCAGGTTGGTTGGACTCAAATTTCAGTTATGAATATAAGGTTTAACTAGTTGCAGATCAAGAATTAACTGGCCAATTTTACCAATTAGATTGTGTAATTATGTGATTCTAAAATGTAATTAAATTACCATTGTTTTGCCTAATCATAAAAGAATCGTGACAAATTGGCCATCCTCATTGAACATGGTAAATTGGGTTGTTAGTTTTTCTTCCAATAAGATCTGCATGAGAAGTGGATGGCTGCGTTTGAGCTAAAGCTGTTAACACCCATTCTATGAAACTGGTATCTCACATATAAGTTCATGTGTCAATCATGTGATATAAGAATTAGAGAGTAGACGTTTGCATTGTGAATTTTGAGGGTCTAGGCTGATTCACACATTCTGCAACGAAAAAAGTTCATACTTGAACATTTTCGCACAATACGCAGTATGATCGTTTCATATTAATTAGAGGATTGAATGAGTGTGCCAAATACCTCAACCACAATCCAATCTACAACTCAAAATCAATGAGCATTGCCTCAAAAGAGGCAAAGAGATAGAGAGGAAAGAAAAGGTGAAAAGAAAAGACAAACATATGAGATGGGTTGGCATTTGGCATTTCAAAGATGGCATATTAGCATCATATGCACACATTAGGGCTATGAAAGGTAGCTAAAGGTGAAGAGAAGATTGGGACCATATAACAAGAATTCCAATTCCATTCAGGGGTCTTGAACTCCAAAAGAGCATCCATTTTGCAATTTGTAATTTGCAATTTGCCATTTGCAATGCCAGTGTCTAGCAGCAACCAGAAATGTTTTCCTCTTATTTCTTAATCATCTTTATCCACATTCAATAATGGTACTTGGTAACTATGTCTATAACTAAACTAGAAGACTAATTTTGTTTAATTTTTAGGTTACAATAAGATGAAGAAAAAGGATCGGCGATTTCTCGATTTATGCACTAATCTTGTTCATATCGTTTCAATTTTAGTAGTTATCCCCGAAGGAACATGCCTAATTGCCTCTATATATAAACAGCCTAATCTTTTTTTCCATTGTAGGGGAAGTCACAAGGACTAGTAATTTACTGAGATTTCATATATGTCAAGGGAGCATATTTGATGCTTCCATATTCTGAAAGTTATGTCCCTCTCAAAGATATTGAGCACTTGGATTTAATTACCAAAAGAAGTTTGGTGGTTGAAACTTCAAGAGGGTGGTTTGTGTTGCTAATCACTAGTATTTTTTTCCAAAGGAGTCTAAAGCTTAAATTTTCTTTTTATCTCATTTATTCCTTTTAATTTTTTGCTGCAAAACCATACTTAAAAATCTGTTTTTGCACCTACATAATCTTTAAGTACTTTGAAGAATCTTCTTTTTTCTGTTTTTAATTCAAAAACCCTGGCAAAAGTTTCCATCAGAATGTTATAATTATTTACTATATGTGCTTCCATATGCATGCTGGGTATGCAAGAACAAGGAAAACCCTTTCCAAGAATTAGAAGAGAATAAACTTTTGTAAAATTTGGTTGTACCTAATTGGAACTGGGTGGTGAAAAGTTAAGGTGATCTAGCTGAGAATATTTTAAAAATAATTAATTCCATAATTAATCATCATGATCCTGCATCAAAAGGAAACCGTATCATACATGCTACTATAAAAGGCACGACTGTGGGAGCCAAAACCCTAATATTTTATGACAAATAATACAAAAGATAAGATTGAATTCATGATTTCGTGATATTCATATGTAACTTCTTCCTTTTTTTTTTTTTTATAAGTTTATGTTTCGTTATCAACACAAAAAAAAAAGGGTAAGATGGGCATTTTGGCCAAATCAGTGAGTGTAATTTGAAGACTTTAAAGCAAGCAAAAGGGTTTTGGTCTCTCATGATTCTATAGTTTTAAGGATTATTTAGAAAAATATTTGCCAAAAACTTCAATAGTCACAATCAAGCATTGACTACCTTCCTTATTCAATCAAATAAAATAGTGCTCAACCAGACGTGTTAAATTAGGACAATACTTGACATCCGTCTTGGCTTCTTCTTTCTAAAGCCAGAAGCAACCTCATTTTCTCCAAATGTCTTCACTCGAAACTTCTTTTCCATCATTTTCCTTGTCATTCCCAACCAATTTTATATATGCTTCAGTCTTTAACAAGAATCCAGAAATTAACAACTTATCTTAAGAAAAAGCGATCAGGGTAGTTACGTTATCAAATTATCAATTCACATCAATAATCATGCAGGTGGTTGTTTTTTGCACATACGTGATTCAAATTAGTAATTTTAGTCTAATAACATATATACCAAATAATTTGACGAGATAACATTTCATTGAAACAATATAAAAAAAGGCACCAGGATTTCCCTTTTGTTTTTAAGTAAGTAGTATTTCTCTTTACTTGGAAGTGAGAGGTCTTAGGTTCGAAGATCATGAATGGCGAATTTGATACCAAATTAGGCCACCATCGTGTGGCTTAGCCGAACTCTTGTTAGAGTAAATGTAGAAATATAGAGAATAATCCAAATGCTGACTTTGAGGTACGACTTGAATCGTTTCCTTAAAGTGTTATTTGCCCCACTCGAATGAGTTTGCTAAGGGGTTCTTGGCAAATCACTTCCAGGATACAACAAAATATGAAATATTCGATTAGCAAAACCGAATTATATTCCCTTAGAAATAACTAGAAAGAAATTTTATGAATGTGATGGAGAAAGAAGAGAGCAAGAAATGTAGAAACAAATTTTTGAAAATTGAGTGTGAAACATTATGCCACAATAGGTATTTATAGGCATTTAAAAGGTATTTATAGGCATTAAAGCACCTGTTCATCCAGTCATTTCATTTTCGTTGAAGATATACAACTCTTCTTAATAGTGTTGACCCAAAAGACATGTCTTAAATTTAGAATTTTCAAAAAATAAATATTGACTGATTACATCTTTTAATTCTACTCATACAATTTGAGTAGGGGTGTGCTATCCACACACACCCCATGTTAAATTCTATTCGTTGATTTTCTTCAGTTCATCCGATCTGACAGTCAAAAATTAGAAGGGTGTGTGAAATGTAAAATGAGATGTGTGAGTATCACACCCCTTTGAGTAAGCATCATACCTTTTAACCAAAAGTTACAACCATTCAACAAAATATACAATCGCAAAAGGTTGAATGAAACCCAACATTTTGTAAAGGATGCCGCCCGTACTCTTGTCGCGCACCGCAACACCCTTTATTATACACACACATGTTGCACAATGTAGCATCAAGTCATATATATATATATATATTTATATATTTATTATTGAAATCTCTAACAACTCATCCTTCCTATAGTGTAAATATATCGATGTACTAAAAAAAAGTCAGTATAGAATGTACTCAAAAAGTAAATATAGAAAAATTTGTTCAAAAAAAAAAAAGTAAATATAGAAAATTAATCGGGAACTATTATTAGCATTCCAAAAATCTCATTTGGCACTCCAAAATTTCTAAAATTAGAAAGAAAAATACACTTACGAGGAGTGCCAAATAAAATTTTTAAAATGCTAATAACAATTCTCAATTAATTAAACAAATCTTATAACTAACTTTTGTTCTCAAATGCCAAAAGATCTTCGATTTGGAATATTCAAATTCCAACCACGAGTGCATGTGGGGAAGAGTTGGTCTAAGGTAGAAACTACACTAAAAACTATAAATATACAAAGGCAATGAGATTAGCCTAAAATGCCCATGCCACCATGCACAATATTTATACCAATTTAATGATGTACATTATGTGATTCTATATAATTTGAGTGT